AGGCAAGGGGATCACCGAGGCCGCACCGGGACCGACCGCCGGGATCTGCTGAGGATGGGGCTGGGGTCACCCCCGGGATCACCACGCCGGACACCGGGACCACGGCAGGATCGGCCGCAGGATGACCGGGATCTCCCCGGCATCACTGGGACCACACCGGGAACTCACCGGGATCACCTCCGGGATCACCGGCACCCTGGATCACCCCTGGCACACCAGGATCACCCCCAGGATACCAGCACCCCAGGAACTGGGATCACCAGCACCCCAGGATCACCCACAGCCCAGGACATCGGCACCCCCAGGATCACCAGCACCCCTGGATCACCGCCGGGATCACCAGCACCCCCAGGACCATCCCCAGGATCACCAGCACTCCCAGATCACCCCCAGGATCACCGGCACCCCTGGATCACCGCCAGGATCACCAGCACCCCTGGGACCATCCCCAGGATCACCAGCACTCCCATATCACCCCCAGGATCACCAGCACCTGCAGGATCGCCACCGGCGCCACAGGACACCAACACCTCCAGCATCCCCGGCACCTGGGGATCACTGGCACCCCAGGATCACTCCCAAGTCACTGGCACCCAGGGACAACCTCAGGATCTCCCCCAGGATGACAGGCACCCCTGGGATCCCACCCAGGACACCCCTGGGATCACACCCAGACACCAGCACCCCCCAGGCCCCCACCAGCCGCCCAGATCCGCTCTCCGTGCCCACCCCGGTCCCCTGCTCTAAGGAGGTACCCAGGTCCCTGCACCCCAGCACGGTGCCTGTCCCCAGGCCCTGCCAGCGCCCAGTGAGAAATGCCAAAAAAATCACTGAAAACTGCTCTTATCACACGTTACTTTATTTCAGCAGCTTCCCAAACCCCAGGGAGACCTCCTCCAGTGAGACGGTGCTGGAGCACCCCAGGACACCTACCCACTTTCGGGGTACGGTAGGACCTTCCCGCTCACGCGGGAGCCTCACGACTACATTTGTAGCATCCAAAATTGAGATTTCTTGCTTTTTTTTTCCAGATTTCGGACCACAGCATAGGCAACAGTGGCACAGGGACCCACAGGGACGGGATGGGTGGCACCGAGCAGCACCCACGCCGAAGCATGAAGGGGAAGCAAGGCCAGTCAGGTGGAGGAGAAGGTTGAAGGAAGGCTTAGCTCAGTTCGTGCGGACGCATTTTCTTGGGGAACGCAGCCCAGAGTGAATTTCCAGCAGCTTTATCAGCCTTTGGAAATTGATAATTACAAAGAAAAGGAGATTTCTAGGCTGTTATCCACAGCACTTCTGGGGAGCAGGTGCTCTTACAGTAACAGAAACGAGCTGCAACAAATTAAACCAAACCCAACAGCTTGGACTAAGTCATTTTCCCAGCATTTCACATAAACAGGGGCAGCATGTGGGAAACCTCCGACGCGGGATGCTTGAGTTCGGGGATGCTCCCACCACGGCTGGTGCCGGTTTTGGCAGCAGGAGCTGTTCGTCCCCCCCGTTCCATTGCTCGGCGGCGCCCAGCCACCGTCACCCCGTAAAGCTCCAGCCAAGCGCCAGCGGGTTTTCCAGTAATCCCAGTCATTTGCCAGGCTTTGGCCAGGGCTCCAGGGCTTTGAAGCATGGGTGCTGAATTTTGGGGCTTTCAGCGTTATTCTTCCAGCTCTCCAAATAATGTCAAAGCTCTGGGGGTTCCACAACCTCCTGGAAGGATAAAGAAGCGGCTCCTGAACGCAGACGGGACCCTGCACGTTCGCTGCTCCAGTGGGCGGCACCCACTGTGCTGCAGCGACAGAGAGGAAACACCGATGGCCACCCAAAACACGTAGTAGACCCAAAAATCATGGGTGACACGTTTCTTCCTTGAGGAGAGAAGCAGCAGAAACTCCAAGGAGGAGCTGGACCCCAAGAGCTGCCTTAAGCCAAGCTTGCAGCGTGACCAGCACGTATATACGTACATATATATGAACCCACGTCCGTACGTGGCCTGGGAGCCATGGTACAGACGGAGAGGAGCCATGGGGGAGCTGCCACTGATGGCAGGGTAGGCCGGAGAAACCACTGCCTGTCATCACCCGGGGGATGGCAGGTTAGGCTGGAGAAACCGCTGCCTGCCATCACCAGAGCTGCCTGCAAGGCCCCGTGCTGCTGTCGTTGCCCAGGCGGGAATTAAATGAATATTTGTTGGTTTGTTATCTTCTCCCGGCAGATCCGTATGCCCAGACATCAGGGCACCCAGCGGCACGGCCAGCCCACGTGTGCGACTTACCCTGCGCCCTGGGTGAGCTGGGTGGCGGAGGGAGCCCTGCGAGATCTCGCGTCTCTCATCGTTTTGGGTAAATCGCAGGAACGGCCCAGCTCTGCCCCGGCAAAACTGATGTGGCCCTGAACCGTTTGCAGGAGGAGGAGGAAATGGGACTCCCTTGGCTGGATATTTTGTATACAAACTTCCTTGGCATGTGCCAAGCTGGAATCGGCTTCCCACCTCCACTGGTGCTGGAGGCACAGCTAGGAGGAGGAGGAGGAGGACTTCCAGCAGGCCTTCAGCAGGTGAAGCTGACAGCAGCCTGGTGAAGCAGCACAGTGTGCCCTGGAGCTTTCCGGTTGCTGGGCACCATGATCTTCCCCCTGGATCTGAATCACCTTCCCGGAAAGCAGTGGGCAAACACTGCCCTGTTGCCGCTGCGTTGGGGTGAGGAGGCTGCCGTAAATCGATGCTGCCGCGTCTTAACGCCAGGCAGCTGACGGAAACGCTTCTCTGCTGCGTGCACCTTTCCAGCCCCTTCCCTCTGTCCAGGAAGGCAAACGCCCTGGGGTTGCTTCAATCCGAGGAGGACTCGCTCTCACCCAGACTCAACTTCCACCTTGAGAGCATCAAACTAGCAAAGATGCGACCTGACGCTCCGTCAGGAACGAGCGCAGGAGGCCCTTGCCTCCGGCATCAGGAAAGAGGGAGGCAGAAGCAGCCGGGGTTGTCCACGACACACCTCTCTGTCGTGACGCTGCATTTTCCAGAGACGCTGAGAAAAACAAGCGTTGCTATTTGAACTCCCTGGCTTGCTTCCTGTCTAAACAGCAGGTTTGATTACCAATAACTGTCAGTCTAGCTGCACAAAAGTTGAGTGTTGGGTTTTTTTTTTTTCCCCCCTACTGTTTATTTTTGATAAATCTATTGTGGACGTGAATGTGAGGCACTTCCTGAGGTGGTGTTGCTTGTGCTGAATGCCAGGTTCCAGGCTGAGCCCGAATCTGCTACGTGACGTGCAGAAATGACAGGGGTTTGTTCTTCCCAGCAGCTGCGACGAGCCCGGGTTTCTTCCGCATTTGCTCGAGGGACGACATGGTTCTAGCGTACGTGTGCTGGCAACAGAAAACCGAAAAGGATCGTTAACCTGACCTTGGTTTTCAGAGGAGAATTCTCACCTGTAAAAGCATTTTTCCTGCCAAAACAAAACACCTTCCCGAGTGGTGCTGGGAAAAACTGCCCAAGTAAGAACCACAGGGAGTTTGGCCCCATCACACCAACCTCGTTCCACCAGTGGCAAATCCCAGCAGGCTCAAAGGAGGGCACAAGAGGCTCAAAGTGATCTGGGAAATTCTCCTTCCAAGCACTGAAGGGCTGGTTTTGAGATATTTGCCTTAAAAATCCTTACTGCTGCAGTTGCGCAGCCCTGTTACTCATAAACACCCCATCTTTTTGAAGTCCTGCTAAGCTCAGGGCCTCGGTGGCATCTTACGGTGAGCCCTTGCCAGGAAGGAACTAGAAGTGAGAAGCGATGAGATTGGTTTTTTTAGCAGAAGACCAGCGCAGGATGGGGCTTTTACATCAGCCAAAGACAGAGACTATTTCAAAGAGCTTAGTTGTGCTACCGAACCAAACCAGCACCTTTCAAAAGGTTACGGCCCAGGCAGCAGCCGTTCCAGAAGAGTCCCACACCTCTGGCAGCGAGGTGCAGAATCACTCTCCCACCGCACATTAGCAGGGCTACCTGGAACCGGGCCCAGCTGAGCTTACCTTTTGATCAGTCTTCATTTTCGCCTTGTAGAACGAGAGTGAAGCTGGGCAAGCTGGCAGCGTTGTCTCCTGCATCCGCTCAAACCTCTCCTGCTCGTCTTCCTCCTGCCAGCAGAGAGACAGACCCCACCCCGGGTGAAAAAACACAAGTCTGGAGACATAGAGGTCAACTGATTCTGTTTGCCGCGTCGAACACTGATTCAACAGTCTCTCTGAAGCCTCAGAAGTGAGAGGTTCCCCCTTTCCCACACCTTAAGTGAGCAGATTTGGGCAGGACTTTGGGGAAAATCCATCTGGAAGTATAAAGCCCCAAAGGGAGTTCCCTCAGCTGTCTTCTCATGGCCACACTCTGCCCATTAACTCCTCACAGGACAATCTCCCTTTCACTGTGAGATAATGTCACAGCTTGTAGGAGGTCTGAGCTTCAGCGTGGTCTCCCCTGAGTCCAGCTAGCTGATGTCCATGCCCACACTTCTGCAGGGAACCATCTGGAAGGCATGAGCACGCTGAAGAGGACCATGGGTTGAATGGAATTACAATTTTTTAAGATATCAGCTTGTGTGTAATGTTTTCATGCCAGATTTGAGGCTAACTCTAGCAGATTCTTAGGTCACCTTCTGTGGGGGTGAATAGCCTGGAGAAGGGGACAGTGAAATTCTGATGTGATAAAAGGCAAGTGGCCAAACCGAATCAAGCCAAGAGTAAAAGATGCACACCCTGGAGAAATGGGTTAGAACCGTAAATGAAAAGCCAGCCTGGAAAAGGGAAAATGGTTCTGAGTAGGAAACAAACCTCCAGAGAAAAAGGAGGTGGTTCCCTCCCAGAGCCAGCACAGCCAGCGACCCTGACTGGGAAGCTGCAGTGATCTGCCCAGTAAAAGGAACAGAAGAAGAAACCAGCACTGAGCAGCATTACCAGGGACACTGTCTATCCTCCGCCTGAAGATTTCTGCCTGTAACATCAACAACTTGACACAGCTGCAGAGCACTGCTAAAAGGCGTGCTTCGTTCATCTTTGGGCTTATAATTGGTGTGAGGAAAAGAAATCCAGGGCTGGAAACCATTAAGGGAGTTTCTATGAATATATCGAGTAACTTGGGTTAGTAAAAGTGACTAGTGATGGATTTCCTCTTTTCCCCAAAGAGTGACATCCTGCAGGCAGACAGGGTTTCCCTGTTGACCTCATTAGGTGCATCACTTTATCCAGAGGGTTGGGTTCACCGGCGTTTTTTTGCTCTTTCCCATACAGGTCTGTATCTGAAATCTTCCACAGTCTGGCAGATCACAACATTCTGTTTAAAAGTAAACTCACTGCATTATTTTTTTTTCCTCACATCATGGTTGTTATTCATACCCTCAAGGGAACTAATTCAAGTAGGATGGGAAGAACCTGTCTCTGATCAGCTTTAAAACCCTTCACACGCCTTTCCAGAACGGAGTAAAGAAAATGCTCCACTGAGATTTACAGTCAAAATAATCAGACACGTGGAGACAAAAGATTTCCTTTTCGGTTTTCTTTCTAAAGAGCTAAAGCCATCCTGTCCTGCACTACGCATTGGCTAGAAACAGGGCTGTGCGTTTAGGAAAGAGGTCACACAGCTCACACCCTGCAAAAAACTCTGGGTGCTCCCTGCTCCTGGGAGGAACGAGCTCCTGGGAGAGACGGACCTAGGACCTGTCCCTGCCAGCTGTCCTCCGCCATCCACAGAGGGTAAGCAGCGATAATGCAGATGTGTTACACCTACAAAGGGCTGATTCGCCCTTGCAGCCAGGGTGGGATCTCCCTCCTTCATCTTGTCAGAGCAAAAGCACTGCCACCACCTTCCTATCAAAGAGCATGAAGGTTTTGGGTGTTCCTATCAGAGAGCGTGAAGGTTTTGACTCTGACATTTCATAATGAAGGACAAAACCTGGAATGACTTCAGAGGAGAATAATGCAAAGAAGTCTGATAAATGAGAAGCTTAAGAGAAATGTGCTTTGTCAGGAATGACAAAAAAGACACCCGGCTACCCCAAAGTGGTGGTTTCTAAACAGGGCTGACTGAATACCGGTTGCCACAACACGGAACACAATAGTTCAGCTGTAAACATTTCGGATCGTACAGACTGGAAACCAACTACCCCTTGCACCTCTGGGCAGTTTGCCTGATTACTGATAGTCAGCAGACGACTGGGTACTTCAATCACTCTGGCCTATTTTAGCCTCTTAACGGTAAAGCTAATGTGAAAGCAAGATGTATCTGCAGATAGTTGCTCTCTGCATCACAGCAGATAGCATTTCAATGCCAGTCACTCTGCGTAGAGGAAGGGGCAGAGCTGCCATGCCCTTCTCCTGCCACGGGCTTAGTTGTGCCCTCGTTACCGAACCGCGCGTGGCTATCAAGGAGAATAAACAGCTGCCAGGACAACTCACCAGGCACATGACTCTGTTTATGGGAATCATTCCAGGTCTGATGTTGCCACCGGGCTTCAGAGCTTCCTGCACATCCTTGGGGATAAGGAAGGACTCGCTGTACCAGATCTCAAACTCTGCAAAGCAAAGCAGGGGGCAATGAACAGGGCTGTAATGACCGAAAAGCCAAGGGTGGATTGCTGTCTGGCTCCCTGCCCGTGGATCAGACAGGACCTCAGGGCTCTTAAACTCTCAGACAGGACCTCAGAACTCCTAAACTCTCAGACAGGACCTCAGAACTCCTAAACTCTCAGACAGGACCTCAGAACTCCAAGCTCCTGAGTTCCAAACTATTAGAATAATAACTTTAAAAAGGACAGGGCACTGCCAGCTGGCATCGGCTGTGCTGAGGCAGGCTGCTGCCTGTCCTTGCTGCCTGCGAGGCGGCAGGGACCTGGTGGCTGGCCCTGGGGACAGTCCCCTGGGCATGTGTGGCCCGAGAGGCTGCTGGCCGCGAGATGGCACTGCTCCTGCGTCCCCGAGACACAGACCCTCCGGCTCGGAGCGAGACATTTTGAGTGGGCAGCACATTTGGGGGTCAGATTTCCATTCCAGACCCTAAAGAAGCAGAGCCGCTTTCCATCCCGTAATAGCCAGTGATAACACACAGCAGGTGCTGCGATGAATTCTGTCCTTCTTAATATTGGATATTTCCCGGACACCCACTGCAAGGTGGCTGTGCTCTGCTCCATTCCTCTGGCACGTTTCCCCACGGAGCGGGAGAGCCCACAGCCCCTGAAGAAGGCTGTGCTGCCTAGGAGGAACCCCAGGAACGGAGCTGCTTTCTGTTCGGGGACGGGTAAACAAGGTTAAACGCAGAGCGCTGCTCTTGCTAGGCACTGGGGACATGATGCAACACCACTGACTTTTTACCCTGGTTTTAGCTCTGAGATGACATCTTTGCTCTGGGATGACGAGTCCGTGTTTAAACAAACAGCAAACATCTGGAGCACCCAAAAAATGCCAAACCCGGATCCACCGGAAACCAGTGGCAAAGTTTCTGCGCAGTTACAATTTGGCCCTGTCTATCTCCTGGAACAAGCCATGCATTTCTTTCAGCGTGGGATGCGCTGACGGATACAAGTTGCACTCTGGCAAGTGTGTAGAAAATAAAGCGTTGCCACGTGGACAGCATCCAAAGCTTTGGGACTCCGGCATTCGTACACCTACTGTCTTCCATCACACAGGAAAAAGGCGGGGATACAGCAGGACCACACTCCCGTTACGCAGCTTCAAACTGAGCAGCCGGCAGCGGAGCGCACCATGAATTTGCAGGGATCACCCTCAGCAGAGGGGTGACTCATCACCACGAAGGTGGTGCTTGTGAAGAACACGTTAAAATGACCAAGTTCTGCTTCCTGCCACTGGATCCTGAGTCATGCTGACCTCACAGGGGTACAGAGGAGACATCTGGAGTCCAGAGCCAAAGCCCTGGCCCAGTGCAGTTCTCAGCAACCATCACTATTAAATGAAATCAAGGGTGAGAACCACGGCCATCAGTGGGAGCATTATTGTCAACTTCATTGCGAAAGGTTTTACCCACAGCATTGCATTTAGTGGCGTGACCGAGGAGCAGTATGTCATCATCTCTGAAGGAGAATCTGCAGCAACTCAGTGTAACGTCAAAAAAACCTACCCAGTCATCAACCAAAAAACCAAGCCTGGAAGGCAACAAGAAAAATGACAACAGAGGATGATGGACTTGGCTTCTGTGCAATATGTCTGTGAAGTATTTCAGTACTGAGCTGCTGTCAAGCATCACAGAATCCCAGAACCGTTTGGGTGGGCAGGGACCTCCCAGCCCACCCAGTGCCACCCCCTGCCATGGGCAGGGACACCCTCCACTAGCCCAGGTTGCCCAAAGCCCCATCCAACCTGGCCTTGAGCACTGACAGCTAAACCAGAGGCTGTTCAGAAGCTGTCCTACCTGAGATGAGTTTGTTCCGGCACTGGTCCACCAGATGCTGGCAGTACTGGATTTCTGCCTTCAGGTCCTGCAGTTCAGCATAACCAGACCTGTACTCTTCCTTCAGGTCTTTCAGTTTCATGATGAGTAAAAACTCCTTCTCATCAATTATGATCTGTCCTTTGTCATCAACATACTCTCCTGGAGGGTAAGAAAAGGAAACAAAGGTTTCTCATGAGGGTGGAGAGGGACGAAGAACAGTCATTATACTTCCAACCACATGGTAGTTACCCGGTTATACTGAGGTTAACCACACAACTGACATTTCCTTAGACATGCTTTCTGCAAATACAGCGTTGGAGCGGGGCAGAAATCACTGCTGAACTCCTGAACCCGCTCAGCCCTCCCCGAACTGGGACACGTGCAGATGAAGAGGAGGGACCGGGCTCTGCAGAAAGACACCCACAAGAAGCCTGCTGGAGAGTAGCACTTAGGGCTTTTATGGCTCCCCCTAAGCCACGGTCAGGGGTTTTTTTGAGACAAAGGGCTGGTCAGCCCTTTGGGGACAGTTAAGCCAGTGATAAACATCTCATGCTCTTGGTTTCCCTCAAATCAGTTTATTCCTGTGGTTTCCAGCATCCACAATAAACCACCAGTTGGTAGATGTCATCATAAAAAGCAAAGGCCCAAAAGAAGCAAGGAGTCCATGAAAAGACAGACCCTCACTTCGATACAGATTCAAGCTGATTTGCTCATCATCTAGGCAAAAGAGCTTTGCGTCTTGCAGGACCAGACCCTATGGGAAGAGGCCCCTTGCAAAGCAGGGTCACAAAAGTCTCTCTGTAGGAAGAGGAACGGAAGCCAATAGAGCAGAATTCCCTCTGGGTCTGACTCTCTGGCCCTCATTCAGGGCCTGCTTCCTGGTGACCATTTCTTCTCTCTCTCATTTCACAGAACCGAGTTGTTTTGCTGTCCTCCCCACATGCGAGGAACACCACTGCTACTTCCTCGCCATCACACGCAGAGCACTCTGGACCACTCTGCTATTAAAGCCATCTGTTTCAGATTTCTCTCCTTGCCCAGAGGCATTTCTTCTCCGCTCCTCTGCAGAACGCAACAGCACTGACTCTTGGGAGCCCTGCTGCAGGGACCACAAAACCTGACACACTTCCTAGTCTCATCCAGGCTTATTCCACCTAACAAACATCTTTCTGCAGCACAGTAGAAAGGCACTTACCCCATTTTTTCCTCTAGTACCTTGCAGTTTGGGATTTTCATGAACCAGACTCTAATCTAGATGAAATCAAGCTGTAGGAGATGCAGTACATCTCCACCACCGTAGGGACAAGCCTGCTACCCGTGATTTCTGCACTGTACCGACCTGCGTTTGCCAGCAGTATGCTGCCTAATCCGTCAAAGCATGGGGTGAGGAATCAACCTGACTGCAGCTCACCTCGCTAGCGTAAAGCCTGAGTAGCACAACTCAGTGAGGCTGAAGGGTGGAGGACTCAGGTGGAGGACTCAGGTGGCAAACCACAAGGCCAGCTGCACAGCCAGGGCGTAAAGCCCGGTCTGCCCGGCTGCCCTGGCAAGCAGCAGTGGTGGTCTAGTGGTCTTACCACCAGAACTGCTTTGAAACCAGTGGCTCCCTTCTTCTGTCAGATTCTCACTGGCCGGTGTCCACACGGTGACTTACCCTGCTGCCACCGCTCCTGCTTCTGAGCCTCCAGAGCCTTTTTGATACCCTCCATCTCATGCTTGATGAAGTTGATCCTCTGTGCTACTGTACTGCTTCTCTTCTTCCTGGCAAGGAGGATGCTTTTGTTCTCTTTAAAGATCCGGTTGATCTCATTTCCGCACTCCTCCTTAAACTGCTCAAACGCCAGTGGCTTGGATGGAGGGGAGCTGCAACAGAATTCGAAGAAAACAGACACAGACGTGCGGAGGTCAGTTTGTTCTGCCCTGCAGCGTGACACAGTTCATGGGAGTGACCATAGCTGAGGTCTGGGGATGATATTTCAATGGGCTCTTTGAGGATCTCACTGTCCTAGCTGTACCCTGGTACCATCTCTGTGCCAACCTTCATATCCCCTTTCCTCCCCGTACTACTCCCAGAAGAAAGAGTTATTTACATAGAAACCACGTTCCTCAGGAGATGCCTCAGAATTGAGTCTTGCCTGGAAAGCACATCTTTAATGGTCTGAATTTTCAGAAAAATAATGAACACTGTTCCTCCCTATTGTTAAAGAGAGGAGCTTTTGCTCTTTCCTCGCTGGATTCCCAGCACAGACCAGTCACCTCTGCCAGCCAAACCCCATAGCTGCGTGCATTGGCCGGCTCTACAATGCTGCCACCTGTGGTTTTTAAGTCTTGCCTGTTTAGAAAGACCGAATTCAAAGTGGCATGTGTCAATCCTGACTTTTCTGTGAAATGGCCCGGATGGAAACGTGCCCCCACGAACACCAGCTCTGATTTCAACGCAAACCACGCGGGGCAAGAGGAGAGTCTCTCCAGTGAACGCCACACTCCCACGGATGCTGCTCTGTGCTGTGTAAGGTTGGTTTTGGTGAGCGGGCCAGATCTGGTAGCAGAAGGTAGCTACAAGTCTCCACATTCCTCAGCCCAGACTGGTCAAAGCAAAACTCTGACAACTGCCTTCCCCCAATTGACCTCTTAAGGGCATTTTTCAAACTCCTCCAAGGCTGCGTGAGACTGCTTTCCGTGCCAAACTGCTGGCAAAGCGCTGTAAACAACGGCCACTGGGCAGACTGCCGCAGCTGCAGCTCTGACAGCCAGCTGCTGAGCTACTAAGCGCTCTGGGTTGTGCCTTATGCAGCGTTAGCCACCAGACTTTTAGGATACTAAAATGCACGCAGAGGGCATGGAGGACCACGATAACATGTTAAGATGCTTCAGAAGTAAATTCTGGGACAGCTTCACTGTGATGCTCTCCCTGGGAGGCAGGAACAAGCAAGGATCGGTCATCTACAACACAGGCAATGGAGGTGTTCACAATACTTCGGAGCTGCATCGCTTGTAGCTTGAGAGTTCTCAGCGAGGAAAGATGGCTGGTGATGGGAAAAGTGGTGTCCAGACTGGTTTGTGTGGGGTCCTGGCTGAGCTCCTGCGAGTGGAACGGCCTCATGCTGTTGAGCACATCCTCCTGGAAAGAGTCCTTCGTCTCAGTACCGTCAGTGGTTTTTTACCCCATCAACTCCATCCAGAATGAAATACAATTCAGCGCTGCCCTCCCATGCTAAATTCCTGTCATGGTACAAGCAGATGACAGGCGCATTGCCGCATTTTTGGCCATTCTCCACTCTTCTGTCTTAATGTGGCACCTCCTGCCATGATCCTGTGCAGCTATTGACCCATTTTCATGACTCTGTGGGGTTTTGTGCTGGACATGAGGTGTCTCTGGGCTTTTACTACTAACCAAAGGGTGAAGAGTATTGCAATTTTCACACATAATAGAGCAACTGGTCAGGACAGAGCTCAAAGCAGATGGAGATCACCACCACCAACGTTCTTTGGTACACAGGGTGTCCACTGCTGCCCTACAATATATTTCTGCACCCAGGAGATTAAGATCTCTGAATCGCTCCTCTTTGCTTTCAAGCAGGTAGTTGTACTAGGGGAACACAACGCGATTTCTCCAGTGTAAACCACCCTCTGGCAAAGGGGATGTACTCCCTCACAGGGAAAGCTTACCTGGGCTGCTGGGAATCCTCCACAGGAGCTGGCTTTGAGAGCTCTGCATCAATATTTGCTGTATCCTGGTTCCTTGCTCCCTCTTTCACATCCAGATCCTTGGTGGGAATTATTACCTGACTTTTTGATGATAAAAAACCATCCAGGTCTCTCCGGGAAAGAGAGCTCCCGATTCTTTCCTTCCTGACAGGGGGAAAAAGATGAACCAGATTAATTAATTTCTTCATAATAGGAAGCAGAAACCAAAATGTGCTGCAGGTGTTAGCTTTGCTGATTCAAAAAACTAAGAGTCTGACGTTGCTTCTACCAACGTTTGCAGTGAAATATCTACTGACAAGGAATAAGATCAGCCTTGTTCTCCCAAATCCTTACTTACTAGAGTAGAGGGACTGCCTTGTGTAGCAAATACTACAGAACACAGCACAGGCTGGACTAGCTCTCTTGAGAAGGATCACAAGGACAACAGTCCCACCATGTCCCTTACTAGAGTAGAGAGACTGCCTTGTGTAGCAAATACTACAGAATACAGCACAGGCTGGACTAGCTCTCTTGAAAAGGATCACAAGGACAACAGTCCCACCATGTCTGGATTGAGGCACACCTGCCGACAGGATAACCCTCTACCTTCAGAGGAACCTACAAACCAAATCCCCTAGGAGTTGATCTAACCCCACATCTAAAGCAAGCCTGACTCTCTGTTCTTCTCCCTCCACTCACCTCCACAAACACGACCAGCCTCATCTGCAGGGGATAGTGCAACTTGAACGAGATACAGAAAAAAGTGCCTGCCAGATGTCCTTCCATCTGCCTACAAACCAGAACTGCACAGAGGACTCCACTGTGTCGTGTGGGTACTAAAGCCTTGGTGGTTCCTCTCTAACACAAGGATTTTGGGGAAATCTCAGGGAGGAACCAAACAGATGCTCTCAGCCACAGTGGTAGTTGTAGAAACTGCCAATGCAGGGATCTCACTTCTATTAATCAGAGCATCTTTCTCTGCTCAGTACCGGTTCCTACTTCCCTCTCAAAATCTCTTCTCCTTATCTGCTCCTCTGTCCACTGTCCCTTCCTCCCCTTTCCACTTAGCAGATCTCCTTCTACCTAGAGAAAAACTGCAGGTTTAACATCTCTGGTGATGCCTGCCTGTCCAACTCTCCACCTCTCTCGTCACAGGCTAACCCTGTCTGTGCTGACCGCAAGCTCTTCAGCCCAAAGCCTGCCCGCCCTCCGTATCCACAGCTCACACCCTGCACGGCGCTCCGCGGCCTCGGTTCATTCGTAGCAGAGGCACAGACCAACCATTGAGAGTAAATCTCCCCCACAACAGAGGTCTGCCCTACCACAGGCTGTGCCTGCCAGCCACACACGTTGTCCCAACATCCTCCCGATGGTGTGGCTGGTGGCCAGAAGGCCACCACAAACCCTTCCAGCACTAAGCTGGAATGTCATCCTCCAGGAAACACAGAACTTCCACGCTCTGGTTAAGCCTGCTTCATCTCTGCCTTCCTCCACAGATTGCCTGTCACACCTTGACCAGAACCGGTCACTGCGACGACACTTTATCAGAGAAAAGGCAGAGCTGTCTGGCTACTAAACTCACCTGGGCTGCTCATTGCTTTTCCTAGATTTCTTCTTCCCACCACGTCTGGATGAAAGAGGAGCAGTTCTAGTCCCAAAATCCCGTCTGTCCTCTTCCCGCACCAAATGGCCATCCACATCAACCACACCTGCCTGGAAACAGTTAGAAATGAAACGTAAAGCATTTGGTCTGTAGCTGTCTAGATGACCAAAGCTACACAGCCCTTGCCCAGGAGATATTCCACCCTGTTGTACGATCTAAGCTGGAAATCTCTATTCACTACCAAGTATTTCAGGGAAAGACATCTCTAAGAATGAAGTGAAAACTAAAATAGGGCCAAAATTATCCTCAAATTCATACACCAAATGTTTCAGCCACTTAGGGGAAGAATAACTTGGGTCCAGTGTCACAGAAATAAAAGCACCCTCAGAAGTCTTCATTTAGTGGAGATACACAGGAGAATTATGTTTCCTCTACTATTTCTCATATTGCTTGAACTGTAAAGCAAGGGGGCCATTAAGTGCTAAAAATCTACCTAAATCAGATTTCACTTTTGTTTTCCACTTCTTTAAATAAAGACTTGAACAGGCCTGTTAGAGACCATGTGCTTCTCCGTTATACCCATGCTTTGCATTTTCCCTTGTGCCTTTCTTCCAAAAAATTCAAAACACCTTCAGTCAAGCCACAGGAGAAGTATGACTCTGCGTAACAGATCATGATTCTTTTATCCACTTTACTGGGTAAAACCAAGGCAAGGAAATAACCACTTCAGAAAGAAAATATTTCACAGATGGAAATAAGTAATGAAAAATACATTGTAAGCTATAAGATAGAGCCCATGTCTCAATTTATGGGTTACATACAATATATTTACTTTGCTCCAGAAATTATAAGGATTAAAAGAGGGATCTGAGCAGAGGCAGGTGATCTGACCCTACCTTCTACAACTGATTGACAGACAGGTCACCTTCTAGTTAGTATTTTCTTCATTCCCATTTAATCAATTATTCTGTTCAGGTAACGGGCCTGATTGTGTGCTGATACGAATGCCACTTTGTTAACTGGTGCACCTCTGCTCCGTGCAAGTTGTTTTTGACACGCTCATCCCATTAACATTTCTGAACATTTCAGATTTCAACAGGGGAAAAGTTGAGAACTTGAGGAAATTGAAGGTTCAGC